CTCCACAGAGTAGCTTTTAAAACTCTGCAACAGTGCATAGATCTTTTGAAAAGTTTGCCGGACGACGAGAGTTTCGTATTTGAGAGTAAATACATTCCCTCGAGCACCATAGGAAAGCACGTAAGGTGGGTAGTTTAATCGTGTCAACAAAGATCATTATGACGGATTTTTTTTTTTTTTTTGGACTCCTTGAATTGAATCTTATAATCTTAACTACACAGGCACATCTGCGAACACTTCCGGTTGCTACTTGATTCAAGACCCATACCGGTAAAGAGATCCTTCGCTGAAGAATATTTTCTCACCTCAGATGATAATGATAATGATTCGATGGACACTTTAAATGAATCCTCCGAATGGAATGTTGATTATGATAATAGAACCCGTAAGGTATGCATTTTATCAATTTTTTTTTTTTTTTTTTAGTCCATGAAGAACGCACATTTACATATTTTTTAATTAACAATTGACAGGGGGCCGCGGAAACGTCACGAGTGCTAGCTATTAAACAGATTGAAAGATTACAATCGACCATCCTGGAATATAGCACCATTATACCCCTCAATACGCCGATAAATATGTGTACTGTTGCTGATAAAGACCCGATGCATGTGCAATCGACATATGGAAGGGAATTATGGTTTTGTTGTCATCACGCGGTAAGCTTATAATAAACCTTGCGATTTTGCGATCTTGATTTTTTTTTTTTTCGTTGATAGCACTCGCTCACTAAGGCAAACCCAAAATGTTATAGGTTCATCACTATGCTCTTATCCGAGTGATTTGCATCGAGCTCAAAATTCCATATCCCGAAGACTTTGGCGTTGCACCGTCAACTCTTGTGTACCTGGAAGACAAGGAACGATTTACGCTATAGCGAATGACGATGGAATATATTAGAACTATTATCAAGTACACGCAAATCTAATTTCCCTTGTAATTTTTTTTATGTTTAGAAAAAACAATTCTTGTAGTTTATTGAGATAAAGTATAAACATCTTTAGTTCTGTCTATTTTTTTTGTATCATAAAAAGACGTGCAGTCACTTCGGATTGAAACCACCCACAATGGTTTTCGAAACGTAAGATGGACATCACCTCCCACATGTGTAATACCCTTAGAAAAAGCGAACAATTAAAATTATCACCCAATCATTGGTGAGAAAAAATTTCTGTTCTCATGTAGACTGTGCCCTTAAATTCCCAACTAGGGTATATAGAAATTTTAAGAGATGGTTCACACACTATTTAGTATGCAAATTACATCTAATTTACATCACACACATTAACTTTATCAAGTCACGATCTTAGTTTCTGCGAAACGATTTAGTTCGATCTAGACCATACTTGTAAGTGGCCCGTTAAACCCGGAATCAAACAAGAATCGAATAAAAAAAGGCCTTTAGGGCTAAAGCGACTTACGTATAATTGATGTCAACTATCTACGAGTGTTGTTGGCCAAAATGTAACATTGTATGCATATTATAAATGTTGTATCATTTTTAAAGTTTAACGATAATGGTTTATCTAAGACACCCTATTGTTATCACGACACAAATATTTCTATTCCAAAATGATCACCTCAATGACGTGTGAAGAATTTTTTTGGTATTAGGCGCAGGACCAAGATATACAGTACTTTGTAGTTTATTTATATCTCTGTAAAAGTTCCCCCACCCTTTCACTTTTAAACATATAGACCATGATGGATATGAAGTATTTTATCCGATTGGATTTAATGTATGCAAAACTAAATTCTATTAAGAATCAGATCTTTCCTTTATGTTTTTTATCTACATTTTAATATTACCTAAAGGGATCGCGTAACGTAATTATGCAAAGGAAATATCGAAAAAATAAATAATGAATAAGAAAAAAAAAATTCGATGCAATATCCGTTTACATTGCATTTTCCTGGACGTGAGAAATTCGCGACGAAAAAAAATTCCTCAAGATACAACTTTCAAAAAACCAAAACTTGCACATATAATATGGATAAATAAGATACTATAGATGATAATATAAATAATTAATGTAAATAATTAATGTAAGTAGCAATGCAAATAACAAAAATAATAAATGATACACAAACCTTTCCTATATCAATATATTAATTGTAAATGAATCTTTTTATTTTTTCAAATAAGCATTAAAATGTTATTAAAAAAAAATATACAATATATTGTATTTAAAAATGTCTCTTTTAAGTATTTTTATTATATACAAATTAATATTAATATTAATTCGAATAAATATTACTTGACGGCTAAACTCTTAGATAAATTATTTAAAAACTGTTAATTAAATAGATTGTATACAGTATTAATTAAATCTTATTGTTTGATTTGATTTGATTTATATTATTTGATGTTTTAATATTTTTTTTTCAATATTTCTAAATAATTTTAACAATAAATATTATTTATTGTTTATTAAAATTAATATTTGAATTATGGATATTAGTTTAAATTATATTATTTAATTATTAAATTATAATATTTAATATTTAAAATACTATATATACAGTATATAGTGTATTAAAAAAATCTTTGAATTTTAAATTTTTTTTTTTTGTTTATATATAATAATTAACAAGTTAAGATAAAATTTATATAATGTCTAGCAATCAAAACTGAAACATTTACTAGAAAGTATATATATTACATTGTTAGCTTTTCTATCTTATGATATATAAATAAAAAGATGTAATATAATAAGTAACTTAGGAAAATTGAATTGATAAATTAGATGGTTTAAAACTAGTGATAGGATTTTCATTCCCTAGATAGGTTTTTTAAAAATATGAACCTACTTTAAGAATAGTAATCTTAGTTGATAAAAAATTTTTTAATCGATTGGTTGTTAACTATAGTTGCAATTAATCAATTAATATATTATGTAATATAAATTATACAACTAATCAACTAGTTGATTAGTTAATTAGTTGATTAGTTGATTAGTTAATTAGTTAATAATTAAATTAAATTTAAATTTATAATTATTTATATTATTTTATTATTTTTAAATACAATATATAATTACAAATTATTATTTTATTTAAATAATATTTATTATATATTATTAATTAAATATTTAATTTGTATTTATTTTAAATTAAAAATTTTAAATCAATGTCTAAATAAATAAACATAATAAATAAAAAAAAATATATAAGTTTCTATTTTAAAGTTTTTCTTTGATATTTATTATACAAGTTTAAATTAATTCTATATGATTTTTCTTTTTTGTATTGTAATTCAATAGTGGCATTCCATTTAAACTTTGTAATGGAGTACTCAAATAGCATGCCACAATCTTTTTTTCAATCTTCTGCCAGCATAAAATCATCAGTTGTAAATATATTATAAGTTGCCAAATATAATGATTACATCCTTCAATATATATAAGTATTCTATAGCTGTAAACATCATTTTTTATTGCATGGTCTTCTTGTGTCTTTTATGGTTTCGGAATCGATCGTGACATTATTATTAGTGTTGCTAGTGTATTGTATTCTCTTAATATACTCAAATCTCTGAACAGTACTCTTGATTGCATTTGTATATCTAATCAGGAGTTCTTTTACTAGATCATTTATCCAAACTATTCGTCTAATCATCATTACAATGCGAAGTGCCAACCTTATAAAGATGTTAGAATATATTTTATTAGATTTTCTTTGAACTCATAGAAAAATGTGTTTATTAATTGCTGTCATACTACAGAAATGTTGCACTCTTATTATCTAATGCATATGTTTCCTAGGTAATTATAGATATATTCTCTTTCTAATCATTTCTCTTGTTTCCATATATATTCTACTTGATCGGAACATCATCATCAATGTTGCTGATGCATCACACTTCTTTGATGCATTCAAATTTCTGAATAGTTCTTTTGGTTACATTTGTATGCTTGACCAAGAGTCTTTTTATTGAATTATTTATCCAAACCATCCATCTAATCATTATTACAATATGGAGTACCAATCTCACAAAAACATCAGAATATGTTTTCATCAGTTCCTCTTTAAACTCGAAAAAAAACATGTTATTAATTGCTACCATGCCACAGAAATATCATGCAACCTGAACATCTTATCATCCAGTGTATGCATTTACCAGATATTATTTCTCTCTCAACATTTCTTTTTATTTCCGTACATGTTCTGATTAATCGGGACATTATTATTGGTATTGATAATGTGTCATGCTACTTTAAAACATTCTATCCCTTGGATCATTCTTCCAGAAGCTCTTTCCATTTCGATCCAATCTTCCTTGCATAGTTCTGATGGTACTTTTATTGATGTTATATTTTGTTCCTTTCTAATATTTCCATTTGTTCAGATTACTCTCTGGGTCTTTTATCTTTTCTGATTTCCCTAACTTCTCCTTTCTTAGCCTCTTATGATATCAGCTATTTTTTATATTTATCCAACTGTTTCGCAAGGTCTCGTTCCTCTGATTTACCCTTAATCCTCTCCTCAATTTTAACAATTGTCTGAATCCTTTTAGGTTACTATCAATGTTTTTTCTTGCCGAAAGAAATATGCTATAAGGCCTGGATTTTTCGGTCATGTATCATCATTGAAGTTGGGATTATTACTTGTCTTTTCTACTGCTTTCTGTTTATTTTCCTTCAAGGATATCAATTATTTTTCTTTGTTTTCATTAATCTTTTTTTTCTTCTACTGATCCAAAACATTCTCATTATCCACATAATAAGATCTATCACTATCGATCTCATCAGTATGCAATTTTTTGATTTCATTATCTGAAATCAGAATTTTCTTTTCACAGATACTAACAATATTTTTTTTTTCTCTAAATCAACACTAGTCGAAATTTGGTCATTCGGCATGTCAAATTATTGCTGAATTTTTAAATTTTTTATAATTAAATTTAAGCCGAATTT